GTGAAAAAGTCTGAATGAAATAAAAACCAATTAGCTTTGTAATTGTTCGAGAGAGGTAGTCCACAGAGAGGACCCCTTCACAGGGGAGTAGCAAACTGAGATACTATTTCACACTTGCCAGAATGGCTCTCACAAACAGATCAGAAAACAGCCTTGGCAAGGAAGTGGTGGAAAAGGAACTTTCATCCACTGTTGGTGGGACTGTAGACTAGTCCAGTGCCTATGGAAATCAGTACAGAGGTTCCTCAATATATTAAAAATAGATTTTCCATATGATCCAGCAATTCTATTCCTAGGTACCTACCTGAAGAATGCAAAAATCCAAGGGATCCAGGTACTCCTATATTCATTGCATCACTATCTATAATAGCCAGATTATAGAAATCACCACACCCGAGGACAGAGGAGTAGATCAGGAAAAGATGGTATGTGTACCACTATAACAAAAAGGTAAATTCGGGCCCTCCCTGGTGGTGCAGCGGGTTAAAGCACAGCACTAAGAAACTAAAGCCACTACTGCATGAATTTGATTCCTGCCCCAGAGGTGACCAATATGATGTAGCAGGCCTCTCTTGTCGTGCCCGATGTTCCCCTCAGCAGTGTACTTCGTCAGTCGGCCTGTTCTGACCCCCACTCTGTCTCTAGTGAGTCCTCTCACTGCCTCAGCACCTCTGGCCTGTACCCCAGTTCTGTATGCATAAATAAATAAATATTTAAAAATAAATAAATAAATAAAAAGGTAAATTCGGGGCCCTCCCTGTTGGCGCATCAGGTTAAAGCACTGCACTAAGAAGCTTGAGCCACTTCCGCATGAGTTCGATCCCCGCCTGCCCCGGGGATGATCCACATGACACGGCAGACCTCTCCTGGCCCACCCACTGCTCCCCTCAGCAGTGTACTTCATTGATCTGCCTGTTCTGCTCCCCACTTTGTCTCTGGTGAATCCTCTCACCCTCCATATCTCTGGCCTGTACCCAGTTCTGTATGAATAAATAAATAAATCTTTAAAAAAAAAAAGGTAAATTCTTGCCTTTTGCAACATGGATGGAACTTCAATCAGTCAGAAAGAAGAAAGTAAGCAAAGTCAGTAAGAAAGAGAAAGACAAATGCTAGATAGTGTCACTGACATGTGGCATACCGAGAAACAAAACAAAGGGTCAGATAAAGGCAAACTATTAACAAACCCAGAAATCTGAAAGTTGAACTGAGGGGGTAAAAGGGTGTGGTGGGGAGGGTGGTGCGCAGAGAGAAAAAAGTGGGGATGGAGCACAATGGACTGTGGTGGAGGATCATAGGTGATCTGTGTGTGTTGATGTTTGTGTGGTGTGGTAACAGCACCAGAGGGAGAGATTCTACATGTCTCAATTACAAACACTGTAAAGCAGTGTTACCCAATTAATAAATAAATTTAAAAAATGAAAAAGTAAAATGAAGGAAAATTGAAATAGAGATAGGAAGAATACATGTCAAAGAAAAAGCACACCAGAATGCACTGGCCCTGCCCTTCTATCAGGTGAACAGGCCAGGCCTATCTCGCTGGTAACAGTGTCCACAGCCTCTTCAGAGAGCCTGCCAAAGAAACTAATGTTTCTCAACAACATCTTCCTACCTATTAACATGTAATTAAGTACAGTATTTTCAAAAAAGAAAATAGCTATTGATCTAATTGTCTATAAATGTCCAGACTTAAGAGAAGAAGCAACAAAGTAAAAAACACTCTTCAAATAGTGCATGAGTCTCATTTTCCAAATATAAGGTACCTACACATAAATCAATGGCGTCCAACCACCTGACCTAGCCCTGGTAGTAGGACAGGCTTAAGAGGGGTAGGAGGTGGCTTCCAAAAACTTACTTGACTACACATCACAGGAAGAAAAAAAGTAAACATGTCCTATTGCAATCATGAGTATGTCCTGTGTATGTGTATACAACTGAAATGAAAATATCACATAACAGTAATCATCCTCACCACATGTGATACACTATGGTACTTGTAGTTCATGCCCTTCTTTATTTTTATTTTAAAATGATAGTTATGATCTGTTAATGGGTTTTTTAAGCCATTAATGGATTCTGACTTACTGTTTAAAAACCAGGTTGTTTCTTAAGCTAGATCGCACGTCTACTGTAATGCTAGAGAAACTATTCAACATTATGCCTGCAGCTACTATCAAAAGTTGAAAAAAGCGCCAATCCCATGAAGAATGCTTCTGAAAGTTTTCAAAAGTGGCATTAAAAACAGTATCACAACGGCCAGTGCTCGTTATACAGACATCAATGCTCAGAGTTCATGAATTTGTTTATTCATTTATTCACTGAACCATGTAAGAAATGAGCCCCCGTGCCAGAAAGTGAGGACATAATAAGAAATGAGACACAGGTGCTATCTCCAAATAATTCATAATTTAGGTGGAAAACAAAAGTAAACAGGCAATTAAATGATAATGGTTTGCATAATATGCTATGAAAGTTACATTAGGAAGGCATCAAACCCAAGTTTAAAAGGCTAGACGAGGTTGAAGGATTCCAGGAATATATAAATAAGTAGATCAAGTCCAAAAGAATGAGGATTAGCATGCGGTTGAAGTTGGGGAACAATACTATGTAGAAACCAGCAGATACCATATATTGGAGAAAGTGAGAAAAATAGAACCTCTAAAATAAATGTAGCATAAATTCTTGAAGATGAGGGTACAGAAGAATAAGAATAGAGTGGTAAAATTGCATCTGCCACAGCCATGAGAGGCCTGGTCAGTCCTGATGAGGCAGTTGGACTTTATCTTAAAGGCAGTGGGAGGTTACAAAAGGATGCAAAAGACTTTCATTCTCTGTGGTAATGTGAAAAAGTCTGAATGAAATAAAAACCAATTAGCTTTGTAATTGTTCGAGAGAGGTAGTCCACAGAGAGGACCCCTTCACAGGGGAGTAGCAAACTGAGATACTATTTCACACTTGCCAGAATGGCTCTCACAAACAGATCAGAAATCAGCCTTGGCAAGGAAGTGGTGGAAAAGGAACTTTCATCCACTGTTGGTGGGACTGTAGACTAGTCCAGTGCCTATGGAAATCAGTACAGAGGTT